TTTGCCAAAGGCTAGCACTCTACCACTTGAACCACTTTCAGTTCTTTTGGTGCCTCATGGAGTTGAGTCTTGGACTTTCCTGCTGGGACTGGCTTTGGGCCTTCATCCTCAGATCTCAGCCTTCTGAGTAGCTATGATTACAGGCATGAGTCACTGGCATCTGGCTTTTATTTAGAATTTTCAGAGTATTTATTCTTCTATGGTTTTCTAGGTTCCGACATTGCTCTAAAGAATTCTGATATGATGCTGACTCTCCGTCTTTTGTAGTAGCTTTTTTGGTTTCTGGAAGTCTTTTAGGATCTTCTATTTATGAACAGTGGCCTGAATTTCACACTGGGTGTTTATTGTCTTTTGAGAACTAAGTCAGCCTTTTCTATTTGAAGATTCATTTTAACAAAGTTTTTTTTAATGTTATTTCAGCCTTAATTTCTACTTCACCTTTCTGCCTTTTTCTTTTTGTGTTTCTGTTTTTGTGTGTTTGTGAGTGTGTGTGTACAACTATTACAAATCCAATCCACTGTTGGCTCTTGTGCAATGATCTCCTAGTTTTCTGTTAGTTCTTTATTTTTGATTTATTGTTTGTTTTTTAAATTTCTCGTATATTTTTCTTCAACTTAATCTTTTAATCCTATAATTCAATTCTTCTTTCCCAATTGCATTTCTAATTTGAAATTTATTGGTTATAGACAAAATGCTTTCATATTTCAGAAGATACTAATTTTTTGTAATTAAATTTTAAAACATTTTCTTATATTGCTTACATTATCTCTGTTTGTTACAGCTTCCTTCATTTCTTTATTTGCTTATTTTGGTCTTCACTTTCATTTATTTCCTCAAATGTCTGATGATTATTGACTATTCATACATATTTAAAAATAAATCACTAACCCTTTCCCACTGAAAGGAACCAATGCTTCTGGAAGAAATGGCTGATTTCAGCAAATGGCTGGGCCAGCAAATGCTCAATTCCACAATATCCCACACTCCAATTTCTGAGCCTATCTAAGGCTTCAGCTTGCCTCTGTAAGGCATTCTGCTCTACTAAGTCAGGATGATCACTCCATCCACTTTCCACTTCCAGAAGGCACCAAATCTCTTCTCCGATGATGTCTCATATTTCATACTACATATGAATATATGCCTATTGAAATTTCTCACTTTTGATGGCTATCAATCAAGGAGTGTAATTTGACATATACTATCAACTTTCCATGCAGAAACTCCAGGGTGATGATCTCTAGTAGCTGTGTGGTTCAAGTCTTTTAAGAATAGATGAGATACCCAGAGACATGAATCAGAGAGTTTCCTTGTGAATTCAGCAACTTTCCTGGACACATAGAAGCCAGACAGAGATAATGGCTGAGCATCAGCACATCTGAGCACCATTCAGTAGAGTTTAACCTTCCAACAAATCTATGTTGTGGCCATCATCCAAGCTTAGAGAAGGCAGAGAACTCAGGAATCACCCCCAATGACAACCCAGGTCCTAACAAAACTTTCATGGCATCCTGAGATCATGAATCTGTTACAACTGCCCTCCATACACATCATCCCCTAGACCTACTCTGGCAAAGATTGCTCCTGAGCTCCTAATTGCTGAACCAAGATAGCTCATCATGCTGGCTTCTCAGCCCCCTGACACAATGTCACTGATCACTGGCCTCCTTTTCAAAATTTTCCAAAACTAATTGATTGGGTTAAGCTGGTAACAACAGTGCAAGTGAGCTGATTTAAGCTGACTTAATTCCCCTACTCATCCCCTACTTCTCCAATCCCTCCTCCACCTTAACACACACAACTGCTCGGTTTCAGGCTGCCCCTCCTGCCTGTGATTTCGATTTTCCTTAAGGAATAGCAGTTTACATTAATTGTTTAATAGAGGTCAGGTACTTAGAATCCCTTTAATGGATACCGGTTTGCATAAACTGTTTGCATTTAGATTTTACTTTAAGGAATGTTAATTATTTAAGCTATCAATAAAACATCGGGTTTTACGTTTGCTTAAGTCATACCCTGGAACCAAGTGGGAGGCTCAATTGGCTCTCTAATGAAACCTTAAAACCCATGTGCATCCTTGCCCTTGACAGGGCAGTCCTTGGTCAGTTGTTTATAATTAGACTGAAAGCTTAGAGCAGGGGCTAGACACCTCCAGTGAAGGCAATGGCAGGATCCTTACTGGTGCGACACTTTTACAGTCAAAACTCAAAAGCTAGGGTTTTCTCCCCAGGCCAGACAGCAGACACAAAGGAGCCACTCTGAGGATCAGAAGCCAAGGTCTCCAGTCTTGTTGAGAGGGCATTGGATGGCCTGTCCCAACCTCTTGTTTATTTTTTCTCCTCTGTGGCCACAATGTGGACACAAAGTATATTTATTTTTCTCCTTGCATTTCTTAGGAGAATCCAGGCTGTACTTTGAGGATAGGTCCCTAAGTGACATCCCGGGAAAGGTGGTAAACCCAGTTCCTGATCCTCTTGAGGCTATTTTTCTGAGAATACCCCTGAAACTGAGTCTGTGCCTCTAGAATCCAGGAGAAAGCAAGCCAGAATCTAAGAGGCAACAGTGTTTTTCAGTGGCCATCAGTGGCCAAGCAAGCACCATTCCCCTCCTCATTCACAACATCCGGCTGTGCATGTCAGAAACCCAGCTTCATCTCTGTGGTCTAAACACTGTTAATTTGTTCATTTGACCCACACCGAGGGTCACCTTACACAGAGCTAGCAAGTCTGAAGATCCTGGAGCTGTGTGATGTTCTGGGCCTGTGTGATCTGCTACCTGAAGATCCCTTCCTATTTTCACACCCATGTCTTCCAGTAAAGTCTCCCCATGACTTGCCAGGACAACTTCAATGGTCTCCTAATTAGCTTCTCCACCCTTAGTCTTTCTTGGCCCAGGTGATCAAATGGTGAAGCCTGTTCATGCCACTTCTCTGCTTAAGTCACTAGTGGATTCCCATTGCCCTTCAGAATAAAATTTGGCCCCCCTCATTTAAGCAATGAAGCACCTCACAGCGAGGCTGCTCTGTCTCTTCCAGGCCTCATCTCCTACCCTTACCCCACTGCCATCCTCTGATCCTGACCCTCAATGCTGTGTGCTATTTTACACCTCTCTTATCCCCTTCCCCGCCTGGAAAACACATCCTTTGAGCTCCAGTTCAAAGGCAGCAACTCTGGGAAGCCTTTGCAGGCCCTGCTGGGCCCAGAGGGTTCCTTGTGCATCCAGGCCACCGCTCCCACAGCACTGCCATTATTTCTATCTCTTCCATCCTTGGCCCCTCTACACAGAGGATCTTCATTGACAGACCTTAGGAATCCAATAAAGTCAAATGCCTGGTGCTTAGGGAAGCCCCCCTAGACTTATGGCCTCCCCTTCCCCCCACCCTACTTTGAACCTTCTCGGCCCTGACTTCCTCGATCCCTGACCTGCTGGGTTAAGTTTCTATAGATTCCACTTAGAAACTAGGTTCTATACTAGCTACTGGCTACTAGCAATGCCACAGAATGACCAAACTGGCAAACCACAGAATATTGTCTCTGGGAACCAGCCCAGGCCTCAGGAACATATCACACGGTCCACCTCTAAGAAAGGGAATTTACATATGATCCTTTTTTTGGGGGGGGGTGGGTGGGGAGTGTCTGATTGTGCGGCCTGAACTCTGGGCCTGGGTGCTGTCCCTCAGCTCTTCAGCTCAAGGCTAGCGCTCTACCACTGAGCCACCTTCCCAGCCCCTTACATATGATCCTAAGTCCAAGGGATAGACTTTACCTTTGAAACTCAAATGCCTACTACCATAATCTAATACCAGACTTGGATTTTAGTGAGCATTCACTAAATGTTTATTGGAGGTATGGTTGGATGGACAGATAAGCAGATAGGCAGATTGCCCAGTAAAGGGATAAATAGAAGGATAAATGTATTTTTCTTGCAACTTTTCCTTATTCCTCCTGACCCCTCCCTTTCCACGGAAAAAACTTCATACCATCCTCTGATAGCCATCCAAGAGTTGCAGTGATCCCATAGAGTGTGGACTCAGGTTGGAAAAAAGGAGACCAAAATGTCATACTAGCTTATCCTTCCCTATCTGCCCACTGTGGTGAAACTCAATGCCAAATAGTCCAGCGCTGGATAACCTTTTGAATTCTAATTAGATTGCATGCACCACTTATCACTTTTCCTGGAGGTCAAAGACTATCCTTCCTGTACCCCCAGCCCCCAGTTCAGTTTTGATGTCCAGTCAGTGCTCAATGAGTGCTCGACAGTTGGGAGATGAAGCCTTCTAAACATGATAAGTGAAGCTCTTCTCTCACTGAGGAAGAGATGATTGTCCTTTGGAATGTTCAGCCTCTGCGGAGATGGTTTGGCATCTGTTTCTCAATCTGGGATAACTGTTCTGGATCAGGGAGTCCCATTAAAAAGTCTCTCAGAGCACTTAGGGAATTATGCTTGGGGAGTCTTTCTTGGCAACAGATAATAAATCAATCACAGCTCAGTGAAAATGAATTAGAACGGAATCACTTAGGCCAAGCTAAGAAGGGAACCAGGGACACCCTTTTCCTAGAGGCCCAAACTCAAGAGAGCTTCCTGTGGACTTAGAATTCCCAATAGTCCCAGTTTTCTCAATACAACTCCAGTTTTAACTCAGAAATTGATGGATCTCAGAGGCAAACAGGGTCAGGTGAATTTTGTGCATCTGTCCAGTCAAAGAGACAGTTGTTCATCCTGACCTGGTGCTCATTTTCTCACCAGCAGCTTCTCTGAATTATGCAAGAGCCTTGTATGCAGCACCCCTATGTGTATGTAGGCTGCACCCCACTCCCAAGTATATCCCCAGCAGTGACTTTAATAACAGGCTCTGAGGCCATGACCAGATGGGAAAGGGCAGATGGCACCTGCTGTGAATATTAGGGGCTGAATTGTGAATATCACATCTCAGGTTGCCACCCGCCCCTCTCCTTGCCCTAACTTCCAAATTCAGGAAATTTCAGGAAGAAAACTAAATGTACCTGAAGGAGGGAGACATTGGCAAGGCTGAGTCTGAAGAGGTAGTTCCTGTAAAAAGAGAAACAGAAAACATAAGGCACGCTAGGTTTGTAGGCAGGACCCCACCCCAGGAAGAAGTCTCCTGGTTCAGGATTCATGGGGTGCCAAGACTATGTTGACTGCAGAGGACCTATGGTAGGCCACTGTCCAGGGAGAACATCGCTTCTTGTTAGTGTGTTAAAATGTCTTGTAGCTCTAGCAATAGATAGAGAACATCCCATTTTATAGATGAGGAAACAAGTTGCATCAATGGTCTGGGTCACATAGACAGTAACTCTCAGATTTGTCTACCCCCTCGAGTCCTGTGCTATATCTGGTCCTAGCTAACCCAGCAAGCATAGGGAGGAAACTCCTCATTCTACTGTTAAATAAGTTAAAGGAGACCATTGTTTAGATTAAGCTCCTAGGTCCCAAAAGTACTAGGTCCCCAAAGACCAGACAGAGAATTGGTCATGCTAAAGTTTCCAAAACTGATCTTCAAAGAAATCAGGAAAGAGAGAGAAGAGCCAAAATTTCCAAATGGACTAGTTTCAACTGGCACAATAGTTACATTCTGTCTGCCTTGATCTGACACCAAAGCAGGTACTGATGTCACCTGATGTTAGCCACAGTTATTTTTCTATTGTTCTGTCTCCACTCTACAAGAAGAAGAACTATGAAATGGCCAATCTGTTTTTAGTTCTTTGTTTCTGCTTTCTTTAAGAGCCATTTTTTGTCTATAAAATGAATGTCTTTGGCTCAGCCCCATCAGAACCTTTGTGTGTGTGTGTGTGTGTGTGTGTGTGTGTGTGTGTGTGTGACAGAGAGTAAGAGAGACAAAGAGACAGAGAGACAGACAGAGAGAGTACTGGGGCTTAAACTCAAGAATTGGGCACTGTCCTTTAGCTTTTCCCCTCAAGGCTGACACTCTACTGCTACATCTCCACTTCTGGTGTAGTTCAAGTGGAAGTAAGGTTCTCATAGACTTTCCTGGCTTGGAACTTTGATCCTCGGATCTCAGCCTCCTGAGATCTAGGATGACAGGCATGAGCCATGGGTACCTAATCCCAAACACTTATTTTGTTTTATAGAATAAAGTGTTGCATAATTCCAGTTAATATCAAAAAACTAAACTTGTAACTTTCTTCTGACTTCATCTTTTCCAACCTTGGAGCCTGTTTCTGTTCACATGTAACCCCAGGAGCTCTTTCTTGAAGGGACTCAAACCAGCTTCCTCCTTGCTGGCCACCATCCTGAGCACTATGCCTCACTATACAGGCCCCCAGAATCCCGTTTGCTTTCTTATTGCCTGTGACTCCTCTAGATCTGACTTCTCCATGGCCTTCTTCCTGGACCACCTACCTTGTCTCCTAAAATCCAGTTACCCCATCCTCTGCCTCACCTGTGTTCCTCCTTACACCTCCAGCCTCTACAGCACTGCCAGCAACATCTTCCTCAAACACTTTTTATCCAGCAGCTGGCTGCTCACATGCTTTAAATAGCAACAGTTATTTAAATATTAAATATTTAATAGTGTTAATAGTGGGAGCCAGTGGTTCATGCCTATAATCCTAGCCACTCAAGAGGCTGAGATCTGAGGATCATGGTTCAGGAAAGTCCGTGAGATTATCTCCAATTAACTACAAAAAAATATAAGTAGCTAGAAGTGGAGCTGTGGATCAAGTAGTAGAGTGCTAGCCTTGAGCGAAAAAGCAAAAGGACAGTACCCAGGCCCTGAGTTCAAATCCCAGGACCAACAGGAAAAAAAAATTCAGACACTGAGAATTCATAAGGATCAGGCATTGCTCAAACCACTTTGTGTGGACTTAAGAGCCAGAGGGCTATCTGTAGGGACTCAGAACTCAAGGAGTCATAAGGGTGACATACCCATTGGGTCAAAGTGCCACAGAGAAGTGATTTTTAAACTCAAGGTTCAGACCCTATGACAGACAGGCAGAATTCCAGCTGAGCCCACTTGCTAGGGCTGTCTATGGATCTCAGTGCCCACATCTGAAAAATGGAGAAGCAGTCAATGCCTGGCTTTCTTATTTCAGAGGCTGATGAAGACTCATTAAAAGTCTTTATTGTCAGGTACCAATGGCTCACACCTGTAAGCCTAACTATTCAGGTGGTTGAGATTTGAGGATTACAGTTCAAAATCAATCTGGGCAGAAAAAATAAGAGACTCTTATCTCCTATTAATCATCAAAAAGCTAGAAGTGGTAGTATGGCTCAAGTGGTAGAGAGCTAACCTTTAGTAAAAAACTAAATAAGAGCACAAGGTTCTGAGTTTCAAGCCCCAGTATCAGCACAAAAAAATAAATAAATAAAGGAAAAGAAAAAAGAAAAAAAAGTGTTAATAACAAACAGAATTAAAAATCTTGGTTCCCCTCCAAAGACTTTGTTCCTCTTCTTTTTTTTTTTTTTTCTCTTCTAAGCCATTCTTCTTTGGGTTCCAGAACTTTTTAGGAATAATTACTTTAGAAAGTTCTGGCTCACCTTAGCTGTGCTGAGAAATGAGGAGAAAGTTGTGAAGTGGGCCAAAATGGGAAGGAGGGGCCCTGCTGAAGGAAGCCAGGGCTGCAATTGGACACCTCCGATAGGGAGATCCTCTCCTAGTTCTGGTTGTTGGCCCAGGTCCCATTCAGCTTCTCTGCTGTCCTGGGGCTGGGCAGCCTCACGGATGACCTTGGCTGCAGGCCTCAGCTGCTCCCCCCGAATCCCCTCTCCAGCTCCTTGGCAGGGCTTCCCTGTGCCACACTCCTGGACTGGGGACAGATGGGCTCCAGCTTATGGCTCTGCCCCAGCTGTGCGCTCAGGTAACACTGGCATCTGCTCACAGCTTTAACAAATTAGGGGAAACATTCCATCACTTGGTTCATCTTTATCCCATCAAAAATCATTCATCACAACATCCCAGCCGGCGCTTCTGAGAGCAAAGAAATCTCTCCAGCCCATCTCATCCTCCGTTCTGTAGGGAACAAAGCAGGATTATAAACTGATTTTTTTAATTAAAAAAAAAGAAATCCCTAACCTGAATTCTTGAGTTTCATGAGGTTTGGGAAGAAGGAGAAAAAAAAGTCAGGTAGAGAAGAAGGAAAACAAGAGGAAAAATCTACAAGGATCCATAACAAATCATAAGACACCAGCCCAGAGTGGACTTTTTCTCTGTCTAGGCTCAAAGACCCAGGACAAAGTATGCTTTCCAGCTGTGGAAGGGAAGCTTTCAAACATATCTACCCATAAAAAAAAAACACCATTTACAGGGTGTGCCTGCAGTGTGACTACAGGCAGGACTCTTAACCTCTGATAAGTGCTGGTTCCTAAAATAGGGGCCTCACAGAATTCACTTTCTAAGACAATGGTAAAGACTGGATGATTTTCTGCATGCACGGTTTACGACACGTACTGGATTACTTGCTGCACGTATGCTCTGCGACGTGTATTAGCTGATTTACCACATAAAAGTACATAAAATAATAATATTGCTGGGCACATGGCAGGTGCAGAATGAAAGATAGCTTTCAAAATGCTTCCACAAGGTTCAGAGAGGAGTCTCTAGATGCTACTCTTTGGGTTTGAAAAGTGCATATGCAAACGTGAAATCCCAGCTGGGCAGAAGGATGACATGAATGTCAGCTTCTGAATTATAATGTGGCACTACAGTTATATAAGATGATACCATTGGGGGACCCTGGACAAAGGGTACATGGGATATCTCTCTATTATTTCTTATAACTGAATGTAAACTCATGTTAAAGTACAAAAGAAAAATGATTATTTCTCTGTCAGAAATTAAGGTCCAGTACCTTGTGTGCCTACATCTGTAGAAACTATGAGGGAAGGCCTCTCCAATCTGTGTTTCTGTGTGCTATTAAGAAGGTCCACCTAGGTGGAGCTAGGTTACACCCCCAGGAGGGATCTTACTGGTGTGGAGGGGTGTGAACCTTGCTTTTCACTGAATATTCTTTTTCTCATTCTTTCTTTTTCTTTTTGTGCTAGTCCTGGAGCTTGAACTCAGGGCCTGGTGTTGACCTTGAGCTTTTTTTTTTTTTAGGCTACTGCTCTAACACGAGCCATAGCTCCACTTTCAGCTCCTCAGAGCCTTCCCCTCTCCTTGCCCCGTTTTGGTGGCTAATTGGAAATAAAAGTCTCCTGGGTTTTCCTGCTTAGGCTGGCTTCAAAATAAGACCCTCGGATCTCAGCATCCTGAGTAGCTAGGATTACAAGCATGACCCACCAGCACCCAGCCTTTTGTATCCTTTTGTAACTCTTGCATGTTAATACCATAACACATAATGCTGGTGCAAAATAATTTTAGAGCTTTGTTTAAATGAAAAGAAAATACATTCAACCCCAACTTTTCACTAGTCCTGTATAGTTGGCTCCACTAAGACTGTAACTCAGACTTCATAGATGAAGAAATTGAGACTCAAAGTTCAAGTTCTCCCTAGGATAAGAATGCAGCTTGTTTGATCCTAGTCCAGAGTTTACTCATGACTTGCTTCCTTTTCATACAGAAAATGAGGCAAAGACACAGAAGACCAGGAGTCAAGTATGACCAGCCAGAGTAGCCCAGAAGTGACCAACCCACTGGCTACCTCTGTCCATCCCTCCTGCCTCTAGACCTGCTAAACCACACAGAACATCTGGCACCAAGAGTGAAAAATTCAGTGCATGTAACACAGACCTACCAGCAGAAACAAACAAACAAACAAAAAATAGCCCTGCGGTTAGGAGATCTAGACTTAACCCCATGCCTTTGCCATCTTGGGAAGGTCTATTTTCCCTCTCAAGCCCTCTACTTCCTCATGTTTAAAATGAGGGCTTTGGATCAGACTAGCCATTCTCCAAGTTGGAGGGGTCTACCCCCAGAGTTTCTGACTCTAGAGTCAGAAAGCTGCTTTTGAGCCTGGGGAATTTCCACTTGCAACCAGCTCCTAGGTGCTGCAGGAGTTGCTGGCCCAGGAACAGCCTGAAACCTATGTGATAGGCCATCTCTAAGCTCCTTCCTTACCAGGGCCAGCAGTTGAACAATTGGTGAGAAATTAGTTCCTCCTACTCCACCCCAGAAAGTCTCATGAGCCTCCCTAGGGAGCTTTATCTCTTGAATACCAGATGTGAGCAATGGGGCTCAGGGGAACAGGCCACAGGGAAGGGAGGCCCTTCATAAAAGAAGGCACGTGGCCTGTGCCAGCACCCCAGGTGCAGGCTGCCAGCTGGCCAGCAGGGGGCTCCTGGGCACCTTTTCTTTGAGAGCTCTGAGAGAATTTGCCAACTGGGCAGGTCCTGGCATCAGGGAGGGACTGGGGCAGAAGGTAACCAGCAGACATCTCTGCCAACCCCTGAAAAACACCCTGGCTGAGATCAGGAACTGTTAGGGGGCCATCTCCCTGCCTCCAGCCTCTATCTGCTACCTTCCATGAGGATAGACAGTTAAATACAAGAGTCTGGCAGAAGAGACCAGGACTCAGGATAGGGGTTTGTCCACAGTGCCTTCATCCAAAACAATATTCCCTCCGTCCAATTCCAGCCCCCTTCAACTTCCATCCAAGTCTCTCCTGCATCTCATTACCTGGCTCCCACGATAAGCTGGTTCCTGGAGGGATCCAGAGCGAGCTGGGAGAAATCTCGGGCTCCAGGGTAGGTGAAGTTAGATACCCATGGCTTCAGATCTGGTAGGAGAAAAGGCAACCCTGTGGTTACTGTTCAACCAGAGTTCCCAGCTGCGCTTGCCCACCTTGGAGCAGCCAGCTGTGTGGCCTTGGGGAAGATCAGAGAGTGCTGTTTCTGCAATTGGAAGAAGATTTTACCCTGTACACAGGGGAACTTTGAATCATCCCTGACTTTCCTCCAGATCTCCAGCAGCTATATCAGTACACATCCTGTTTTTATCTCCAAACGGTTTCTCAATCCACACACACACACACACACACACATCTTTCACTCCATTCTCATCCCCTATCATGCACCCTCATCTCTTGTCCTGGATTGGTGCCAACAGCCTCCCAACCTGCCTGATCCACTCCTGCCCTCTCCAGTCCATTTTCACAAGGCCACCAAAGCCATTTTTCTAGAATACAAATGTGGCTATGTCACTCTGAAGCTTTAGAACTCTTCCCAGCTCCCCAGGGAAAGTTTCAAGTCCTATCACCTCTGGGTTTCTGGCCTCACTGTTCTCCCAAGCTATCTGCCTGGCAATCATTTGACTAAATGAAAGAATGGTGCTTCATCCTTACATTCCCTCCAACCCTCTGCCCCCGCCACACTAAACTAAAACGTACTTCTCAAACTCATAGAGCCTGAAAACCTCTGTGCCTCTGCACAATGGCACAGTCCCTGTCACCCCCAATTCCCTGACCCCCACAAACAGGATTTAGAGCTCCCATAGCCTTCTGCTTTACTGACATCGGAGTTCTACCACAATATGCTTCTGGCCAATGGTTTATCTTGAAGACCAAGAACAATCAATCTTTTCCTTTTTTCCTTCCTTCCTTCCTTCCTTCCTTCCTTCCTTCCTTCCTTCCTTCCTTCCTTCCTTCCTTCCTTCCCACCCCCCATCTCTGTTTTGTCAGTTGTAGGGCTTGAACTCAAGACCTGGGTGCTGCCCCTGAGCTTTTACCTCTCAAGGCTAGCACTTTACCACTTTGGTCCACAGCTCCACTTCCAGTTTTCTGGTGGTTCACTGGAGATAAGAGTCTCATAGACTTTTCTGCTCAGGCTGGCTTCGAATCACAATCCTCAGATCTCAGCTTCCTGAGTAGCTAGGATTGTAGGCATGTGCTACTGGTTCTTGGCAGAAAGATCTTTCTTGGATCCTGGGCAACTATAAATATTGCATGAATTCAACCAGGAGAATCAGGTCTTAGATAAGATTCCATAGAGGTGGAAGGGACAGAGTCTGGGAAGTCAGAGTCCACCCCTATCTTTAAGAAGGTTCTTCCAGACAAAGCCATTCAGAAGGACTGAGTGGGCAGAAAGGGTACCATGCAGCCGTCTGGATAAATGGGGAATGGTCTGGGACTGTGCTGGCTGACTTTCTCTTGTTCTTTTCCACGGGAGACCCACTGTTCCTATCGTGGCCCATAGCTCCTTAACAGATCTCACTCCATCCATGCCTCCCAGCAGGGAGGGAACTAACACCAGTAAGGATGGAGCTGTAGACAGAAGAACTTTTACACTGATGGGATAAAGAAGGTGAATGGGAGGCCCTGTGCTCTCTCTCTTCAGTACATTAGTGACTGGCTCCCATAAGTCCCAGAAGTGTGTGTGTGTATATATGTGTGTGTGTGTGTAATGCAAGGGAAATAAATCATTGCTCATTATCCCTCCACTACAGAGTAAAAGCAGCCCTTCATTTCTGCACGACAGGCAAACACTTAATCGCTCCCTGGAGAACTGGAGGTTTTTTTTTTTTTTTTAAGTTGGATGTTTTTCAGAAAATTGTGATATGCATGATTAAAAAAAGAAATTCTGCAGCAAAATGGAACAGACTCCTTGGGCCCACCCCTGCCCCCAGCAGGTGACAAGTTGCTGGCAAAAATTGTCACAGTACCTTAATGGTATTTGGACATATAGGTATAATCAATGGATCTAAACCCCAGTGAGCTGTTTTTTGTTTTGTTTTGTTTTGGTTTTTTGCTGACCTCAGCCCCACTCTTGAAAATCTTGGTAGGATGTTGGACAACCTTAGAGACTAAACCAAGGGCTCTCCTCTCCAGGAAAGACCTGGATGCTAACCTCTGCACATTCTCTTTAGCTTTCTGTTCTGTTCACATTGTCTGTCACTGGCACTCAGAATGTGCTCAGCCTTTTCCCTGTGTGTGTGGTCCTCTTCAGACCAGATGCTTTCTAACAGCAGCAAACAGGCTGTACTGCAGTCCCTCCTTTCCTGCAGACAGGGGCATTCCACATGTGGGCAGCTGAACGGGAGAGCAATGCATGTGGCCTGACTGGTCCATGCAGGGACTTCATTCCATCTCCATTCAAGGCCTTTATCTCAGGAAGGATGACAATGGCAGCTGAGGGTGGGAGGTCCTTGCAGCTTCTGCTCCTCTCTTCCAGCCCCAAAGGAGCCTACATGGGTAAGTGGCGAAGGGCAAGGAGAGAGGTGGCTGGGCACGGTGCCTTGGTGCTGGGGAGCCTTGGGAAGGGAGCCAACTTCCTCTTATTAAACAGGCAAAGGGGACCAGAGGGAAGGCTGTCTTTAAAACACCAAGCACGTTCTGAGATCTGTGTGCAGCAAAGGCTTTGGACAGGGACTTTAAGAGAAAAATGACATTCTCCATGACGCGCCTGTGATTTTAATTATAGCCAATTCAATTACCCACTTTGTGGATTAACCACTGCTGGTGTTAACTCCAGGCTGGTTTCTCCCCACTGTCGAGAAAGGGCATGCTGTGGCCAACAACAATGTGAAGGCTGAGAAGAAACCCAGGTGGCCCCCTTCAAAGAAACCCCAGGAGAAGATTGAACCTTACAAAACATAAAACCTCCCATCAGCTTTTGCAACTGGCAGCTGCTCTAGGATATTTAGGGGTTGTTCACAGATCTGTCAGGTGGCAGAAGAGAGGGGAGCTACAGCTACAAGGTGGGAGGCCTGCACATTAGCCAGAAATGCAGCATGCTGTCTGAGGGGGTCTTGGAAGCCAGGGAGTTGGATGTGCTAGAATAAGGCAGTTTCTCTAAAACATGTCATCAGCCAGAGCATAGTCCCTTGCCCAAGGGAAACCAAGTTGCTACTGCGTGTTCAGCTGTACCATTAATGTAGGGAGACCAGGGAAACAGTTCAGGTTGTGACTAGCTGGACCAGGAATGAAAGGCAGTGGCCTTTGAGAAATAAATATAAGATGTCTGAGCACCCAAAAGAAATGTTTGTTGCCAGGCCCCGGTGGCTCACACCTGTAATCCTAGCTACTCAGGAGGCTGAGATCTGAACATCGAAGTTCAAAGCCAGCCGGGGCAGGAAAGTCCGTGAGACTCTTATCTCCAGTAAACCACCAGAAAACCGGAAGTGGTGCTGTGGCTCAAGTGGTAGAGCACTTGCCTTGAGCTGAAGAGCGCAAGGACAGGGCTCAAGCCCAGAGTTCAGGCCTCACGACCGACAATAAATAAATAAGAAATGTTTGTTTACCTCCGGCGCACAATTGCACCTTCTCCGTGCTGGCACCAACAGGGCTTATAGAAAGTTGGTGATTGCTCGACATGGTGCCTCATACCTGTAATCCTAGCTCCTCAAGAAGCCGAGATCTGAAGATCATGGATCAAAACCAGCCTGGGCAGGAAACCCTGTGAAATTCATCTCCAATGAACCAACAACAACAAAAAGCCAATACTGGAGCTATGGGCTCAAGTGGTAGTGTGCAAGCCTTGAGTGAAAAACTTAAGGGACAGCATCCAGGCCCCGATTTCATGCCTTAGTACTGCCACCAAAAAAAGCAAGAAAGAGAGAAGGACAGAGAGAGAGAGAGAAGCAGAAGAAGTTATTGATCTCAGTATGCCTCACACATACACATACACATACACACACACAAACACACACACACATTGGTAAATAGGAAAACTCAAAGCTGTAAGGGATGAAGAGAGGGTGGCAGGTTCCTTCATTCCTTCATTTTGTAAGCAGGTGGGTGGGACATCATGTTCATTTAACTTATGCTGAAGATCACAGATGGTCTTAGGAGACCCAGACACTAAGGACCCTCCCATCTCTCTCCTTGCTTATCCTTTTCCCACCCCAGTGTGCCTCCATACAGACCAACTACAAGAAGGGGAAGGTAAAAAAGGATTCCTCTGAATCAGTAGGGCCAATCATACCCCAAACCCTCCAAGAGGAAATGTCTATGAGGAGCTGTCACAGAGTCCTGCAATCTCAACCCACCCTAGGAATTCTGCTCCTCTGTTTCCCCATTTGGTCTTTCCCTACAGAGACAACCACCAAAGCTAGGGGATCCCAGCTCAAATAAGGCAACAGCAAGAAGATAGCTGGGAATCTTCCTCCTGGAGATAGGAACCCACACTCCCAGCATGCCCTTAGCCTCCCATTCCAGCAGCTCCCACACCTCTCATTCATGTGGCTCCTTAAGTCCCCATGCCAGCCTTGGAATTGATGATTGATTTTCTGCTCTGGTTTCCATCTTTTCTGACCCTGCTGGCCATGTGGCCACCCAGAGGACAGGGCTTTGTGTTTTCCTATCTAGGGCCCAGTGGGGCAGAGACTATGTGATTGCTCTGCAGTGAACAAGCAACAGTATTAGGAGACTGACCTTGAGGTGTGATTTTGAAGTCTCCCCAACATCCAAGGCTTGTTTTTCCTATTTGTAAAAGGAGGAGGCAATCTCATGTCCCTGCCCGCCTTCCCCAACCAGGTGTTTCTGAGGAAGGAGTAGCCCAGTGTTAATTGGACTCAAGGACCAAGGATTCTGGAGATGACACCACAGCATCTGTGGTGGCATGTGAAACGTGAATGTGATTGTGAGTCACGCAAAGACCCTCAAACTGGTTAACAGGCCATGGGAGAACTTTTGGGCCTCTCTAGAATTCGCATTTTATTTCATATTTTTGGATTATCGTCAAATGTATATACTAATTTTAGACATCGTGGAGAATTTATGGACCCTTTGGAATATGTCCAGAGATTCACAAATTCCAGTTTGGGAAACACTTTAATACAACACTCCCAGGCTCTCTGTTGACACAAAGAGGAATAATGAGTCAACCAGGGCCCCTTTCAACTGAGGGCTCCCAGGACTCTAAAGACGGGCATTCCTGCAGCAGATTTAGACTAAGAAGGAAGCCTTCTAGAGATCGCCAGGGACTTCCTAATGCAAGAGGCTCCTTGCTCCTTCCTTAAAAGAAGCTAAGAAATGGAGCCTAGCCTTACAGAACAGATAGAACTGAGGCCACCAACCAAATCCTGACCACTCTCAGGCAAGATGGATGACCATTTCTCCCCATACGTATGAAGGACGGACGTGAATAAATGATTCAGAGACAAAAATTAGATCCAGCCCACTATTACCTGTTCTTAAAATATCTATCCTTACAGGAAGAAGTCTCAGAACCTACAAGGAGTGAACAATCCAAGGGCTTCTAACACCTAAGAAGACCCTACTCAGGTCTGATCTAGGTCTTTCAGGACAACCAAGTGGGATGCTCTCACCTTCGAAGGCCACGATGGGGTGCTCCCTCCGGGTGCACAGCAGCTCACTGTTGGGCTCACTGGAGATATCCTGAGAGCTGCAGAGGTGGGACACCAGCAGGGTGAGGCTAGGCAGGAACAGTGAGATAGCCAGGGGTCCTGGGCCCACCATGATTGGCCCCTCTGCAGTCCTAGCTCCTGGAGGCAAGCTGGGAAGAAGACCTGCAATGCAAAACTCAATCTCACTAAGCATTCCCTCCATCATGGCTCATATCTCAGTTTCCTCATGACTGTCAGTGGTCCCTTGGGGTTTTAAAAGATACATTTATATTGCATCTATGTTACTCAGAGTTTACTCTGCCCTGGTAATGCAAAGTTATAGATCATATCTTGAAAGCTAATTTCCCTTGTAATGGTGTTCTGGACAAAACTGACAAATTACAGAGCCTTTTCTATTATGATCCCAAATGCTTTCAAATTCGTTTTAATGATAAAGGTGGTATATCCATTTAATAACTGGAGCTGGGGCAATGGGGAATCATTTGCAGAAAGAAAAACTCGGACCCAAGTCTAACTTACACCTTACAAGGAAGAATTCCAATTGGATGAAAGATGTAAATATTAAAGATAAAATAATAAACAAAATAAGAAAATTTAGACAGAATCCTTCATATCATGGAGTGGAATACTATGACTCAAAACCCAGAAGTCATCAAAGACTGATAAATTTGACTATATTTAAAGTACAAACTTCTACATGCCCTCCTCACCCAATGAGATGATCAAGACACTATGTTGAAAACAAACTTTACAACTTGGGGGTGGGGAGGGAGGAGTTGGGGAGGTGGGGAAGGAAGGGATTGTAGGGGGAAAACAAAGGAAGGGGTAACAATGCTCCATAGGAAATGTTCTCATTTCCTTACTCATGTAACTGTAACCCCTATGTACAGTATTTTTACAATAAAAATATATATTAATTTTTTAAAGAATCAAAAGTCAAATACAAACTTGAAACAAATATTTGCAATTCATATCACATTAAGGGACTTTTATTCATAAACACATAAGCACTATTAGGAGTTGGTCTGAGGCCAGCTGAGATAATAGTGAAACCCTATTTCACAAACAAGCTAGATGTAGTAGTAAATATCTATAACCCTAGGCACTCAGGAGGTAGAGGTAGGAACACCGACAGGGTAAAATTGAAAACTCTATCTGAAAAACAAACTAAACCCTATCTGAACAAAACAAAAGGACTTGGGGTTGCAGCTCAAGTGGTAATGGGCTTGCCCAGCAAGCATGAAACATGAGTTCAATTCCACAAAAAAATACCACCAAAAGGAAGGAAGGAAGGAGAAAGAAAGAAAAAAGGAAGGAAGAAAGGAAGGAAGGAAGGAAGGAAGGAAGGGAGGGAGGAAGGGAGAAAGAAAAGCAGAAGACCAGCAATCCAGTAGAAATGGATAAAGAACAGAGAAAAAAACAGGGATTTAAATATTTTGATATTCTCACCCCCCACCAAGAGCAATGCATATTTACACTTAGAATGGGATCCTACTTATCATCTATCAAGTTAGCAAAAATTCAAGGTAGACAGCATGAACACTGGGGCTTGAACCCACAGCCTCATATTTTCCCTCAGCTCCTTGCTCACAGCTGGTGCTCTACCACTTGTGCCCCACCACCAGTCCAGTATTTTGCTGGTTAATTGGAGGTGAACTCTCCCAGACTTTTCTGCTCAAGCTGACTTCAAACTGCGATCCTCCAGGTCTCAGCCTCCTGAAGATCTAGGCTTACTGGCATGAGCCACTAGCACCCACACAAAACAACACACTTTTGGTGAGGCTGTGTGGAGAAGGGTCCTGTCACATACTACTAAAATTTGCAAAATGGGCACACGCTGTGTGAAGCTGGGAGTACCTAGCAAAACTACCTACGCAGTTATTACCCTTTGACCCAGTAGCCTGATTGATGCTTGTACACCAGCATCAGTTTATAAGCTATACAACTGTGTTATAAGATAATGCACAATTTGAGTGTCTATAACAGAGTAATTGTTATGTACATTGAATTTAATAATGAAGTTTTGGGGTTCTGGGGTGGGTAGCTCAGCAGTACAGCTTTTGCTTCATATGTGCAAGCCGCAGGGTTCTAGCCACAAAGAGAAAAGAGAGGGAGGGAGGAAGAGAAAAAGAGAGAGCACAACATATTTAGACTTGTGTTTTACGTGTTGTTTTTCGATTCATTTCTCTAGTAATTTACTTTTATTGAATTTTGTGTAAGTATCCATCTGCAACCGACTGTAAATTGAAACATCAAACCTGTTCCTCCACTACAGACAGTTGAGAAGCAAAAATAGACTGCGGAGGCACCTGCATGGCACAAAATGACTCACATATGAGGTTTTCACCATGACATTCTTTGAAATAACAGAAGGAGAAAAACAAACCAAACATCCAGAAATAGGAGGCTGCTTACAAAAGTCAGGGTGTTTATCTCTGTAATGGAATACTATGCAGCTGTGAAAATAATGCTATTTTCTTCTATGAAGTGAAAGGTAGTGCTAAATCAGGGACTTCCATCATTCCCTGGAGCAGGTGAAGGGGTTTCAAAGATTCTGGACAAGTGAGAGCCAGAGGGTAAGCATGGGGCTTCTCCTCCCTCTGAGACCTTTGTTCCTGAGTCGTCTTCTTCCCTCTTTCCTCCATTGTGATGATTTCCTTCCTGCCTGTTTCCTCTCGGGTGTGAATGGGATGATATCCCTTCACTAAACTGCTGCCTGGCTTCAAGGAACTGATACACAGACAACAGCAGACACAGCCAGCCTACACCCCCTCTCCCCACAGGGAATTTGTTGATTTCCATTTTTGATTCCCTTGTCCTCTGGCACAGGTTAAGTGTGTACATACTCAGCCCTTCTAGAAGAGCCTGGACATACCTCTTCGGCAGAGACCCTCTAGGAGGCGGATGGACCCAAACTTTTCTCACACTGCCTCTGGAGTTTCCCTCCATGCTAGGTCTGGCGTTTCTGTTGCAGGCGGGCTTGGCTGTAATGTCCCATCCTTGGTGCTCACTAGACCCCTTTCCTGGCACATGTCTGTGACCCTCCTCAAACAAGGTCATGGGGGGGTGGGAGAGGGGCATTAAGGAGCTGGCCCAGCCTCTGGAGCCAGACAACACGAGGTCAAACTGATCTCTAATTATTAGCTGTGACACTGTAGGAAAAACAATTTCTCCCTGCCTTGATTTCCCTAACATCAATATCATTGGCAGTTAGAAGTTAGTTCCTTTAAAACAGTGCCTTCTGGGGTGGCACTGTGGTATCCTTTGCCCTTTGACCCTAGGCCTTCCATGGGTACCTCCCTCCACTCTCTGGCTCTGTTTCTGCCAGGTAGATCCACTAGACTGGGTGCAGGGCTTCCCTTCCTTCCTCTGAGTCTGGCCAATGGAAGGAAAGAAGAAATCAGTGGGAACATGTCCTGTTCCTGCTTCTAAAATTGCTCCCCAGTCTTGCCTTTGAACCCAGGGTGGTACCAGCCCCAACGTGCTGCTCATGACCTCACCTGGCTCCCAACCCCTTCCCACAACACTGCATACACTTCCTTTATTAAGTTGCCCTTACATTTCCCAATTTGAGAGTGTCGTCTGTTTCCTAAGGGGACTCTTGACTGAAAGAACACCTAATTAGGGAGACTGAACACACATGCAAACATCCTGCTAGGCTCTCTTCATCAGCCCCTGGGCATGACAATGCCCTTCCTTCCAATGTGGCCCCTCCCCAGCCTTCCTGCCAACTCATCCAGGTAGGACTGCCACCCTCAAGGACTCAGGCCTGGCGGCTCTGCCCTTTGTGTGGCCAGATCCTGATCCCCAGGGGCCTGAATCAAGGATACAACCCAGATCCCTTCTCCTCTCCCAGTCCTTAGCCTTTACAGTTCCTCATTGCTACAGCAGAAGTCCCATTCCCATTATGGATTTTATGTAAATATGTTCTCCAGGTCCCTCTTGAATCAATCATTGCTAGATTAATATCAATGCATACATCTGGGCCCCAACATAGCACACTTGTCTGTGATTCAGGGGACAGGAAGAGACATTCAAGATGTATGAGGGGCCAGGGAAGGATGAAAGCAGGACCTGGATTTGGGATCTTCTCTACTCAAATACCTTTCCTCCAAGCCACGGAGGAGAGAGATTGAGAAAGATGCCAGTGAATGTGCATACAATACACGGGGGTCACCCAGAGGCAAGTGACATCACATCAGGACAGCTGGGGGAAATCCTTCTATCAGATCAGTGTAGTGTCCCAGGCCTTGGGAGCTGACTCCAGGTGCTCCACAGGGCTTCTACACAGTCTTGTATTGCCACCAGCTTCCAGGAACCTCCATCTTTCTTGACATGGAAGCTAGTAAGTAGGTCCTCAGGGGGAACAAAGCAGCGTCTGAGCAGCAGGACAGTGAATATGGGCTGGAGTTTGGAATGTCAATGGCCAGCGCAGAGTCTGATGAACCAGAGCTTGCAACATTGCACATTTTGGAAGACAGAGCAGAGGTGCCACAAAAAAAATGAAAGGGGTGGTAGATCCTCCGGTCACTGAACATCACAAAATCTGACCTTTACAACCAGGTTCTAGATACTTTGGGAGGTAGGGGCTCCAATTTCTAAGAATTCCTCATTATCTCCCCTTCACCCACAGCCAAAGGTATAAGTCCCAACACACAGTAATCCTCATCCCAGCCAAAGCCGCATGTGCCAGGGCAGTCACATGACCAAAACAGACCAACCAGGAGTTCTTTCATAGCAATTTGGCCCCAAGAGTCAAACCAGCCTTTGCAGATGAACCTAAAACACATATACTATAAGCCCTGGGGAGGGGTTGGTCATCTTCCCCTGTCATTATGGATTAGAACAACCTAAAGACAGAGACCAATAACAGGAGGTGGGAATAGAAGTTCACAGAATGCTGACAGATCATCTGTCCTGAGGTCTGGCTACATCTTATGTTGATGAACTGCTCCTCTCCAGATCCCAGTTAACTGGGGCCACCTGTCTAGAGGGCTGAGAAGTTTCTGAACATGGCATGTTGCCTCTGGCCCTCGATAATGTAGAATCTGTGCTGGAAATGAGGAAGGCCAGGACAGACATCAGCAGGTAATGATGTGGACAACTCCTTGTCTGACACATGCCAGCTGGCTTCAACAGGTGGCCCATGTGTTGTGT